TGTGTGTGTGTGTGTGTGTGTGTGTGTGTGTGTGTGTGTGTGTGTGTGTGTGTGTGAGACTGTGTGTGTGTGTGTGTGTGTGTGTGTGTGTGTGTGTGTGTGTGTGTGTGTGTGACTGTAATGCACTGCCAATTGAATTACCTGTCTGTCTGTTGTCTGTGTTGCTGCCAGTGACTAATGACACCAGAATTAGTCTTCAGAGTCTGTCTGTCTCTGAAGAGGAGGAGGATATTGAGGTAAAGACGAAAATGTCATTCAAATATGAAAAGATAAGGAATTCATAAGACAGCTTTTTATTACATTCAGAGTGAATGAGATGCATGAGGTCAGAGTTCACGACGTACAGTAGATGGCAGAGCTCGCGGTGATGGTCGAGCGATAGAATCTGGTCAGTTCTGATGAACGTGCAGTAAAACTCACCGGCGGAGGTGTCTGCAAAAGTGCAACAGGAGGCTCTCGCAGGCTCTTTCTCATCTCACACGCTTCATTTTGACACAAACACACTCCTTGTGGTGCTTTCTCTCAACCTCCTATGAAGCCCCATGAACTCTGTGCTCCAATATGATGTTATAGTGCAGTAAAGACTGAGGTACAGTGCTGGCCAAAATGATTAGAACACTAGTATTCTCAGCAGCTAAAAATGGTTTAAAGTCAGTTATTTCTATCTTTTGCTGTAGTGTGTCAGTAGGAAATATCAGTTTTTGCATTAATTGTAATAATGCAGTGAGATATATGTTAGTGCTGCACACAGAGCTCTGATCTGATCATCATCAGTCTGTCTGGAGTCACATGAAGAAACAGAACAAACTGAGACAGACTCAATCCAGAAGAACTGATGCTTCAAGAAACCTGCGAAGCTCCTGAGAAACTCTGCTCAAGTGCACCGAGAGCAAAAGCTGCTTTAAACTCAAAGGATGCTCTCACCAAATGTTGGTTTAATTTAGTTAATAGAAGTTAATTGATCTATTTATGACAGCATCCTCATTTTACAGCATTTTTACACAAGCGCCTAAAACTTTTAACAGCACTGTAGCTTTGCAGGTTTCTTGAAGCATCAGTTCTTCTGGATTGAGTCGGTCTCAGTTTGTTCTGTTTCTTCATGTGACTCCAGACAGACTGATGATGATCAGATCAGATCTCTGTGTGCAGCACTAACATATATCTCACTGCATTATTACAATTAATGCAAAAACTGATATTTCCTAATGACACACTACAGCAAAAGATAGAAATAACTCACTGAAAACCATTTCTAGCTGCTGGAAATACTAGTGGCCAGCATTGTAAATGGGCTTTGGTGATGCTCCGTGTTTGGAGGACTGATGGGCTCACACATGTGTGCCGCTGCTCACTGATCCCATCGCTCTCTCTTTCTCTTTCCAGAACCTTCCAGAAATCCAGATGGAGCAGGATGTCGAGAGCACCGTCACGGTCCGACAGCCCAAGCTGCCCAAGCAGACGTGGGACGACGTCCCCAAACCGCTGCAGGACAGGGAGCGCACCAAGCAGAAGATCCAGCGCTACGTCCGCAAAGACGGCAAGTGCAACGTGCATCACGGAAACGTGCGGGAGACCTACCGCTACCTGACGGACATCTTCACCACGCTGGTGGACCTCAAGTGGAGGTTCAACCTGTTCATCTTCGTGCTGGTTTACACCGTGACGTGGCTGTTCTTCGGCTTCATGTGGTGGCTGATCGCTTACATACGAGGAGATCTGGAGCACATAGGAGACAACCAGTGGACTCCTTGTGTCAACAACCTCAACAGCTTCGTGACGGCGTTCTTGTTCTCGATAGAGACGGAGACGACCATCGGCTACGGCCACAGGGTGATCACTGACAAGTGCCCCGAGGGCATCGTGCTGCTGCTGGTGCAGTCGGTGCTGGGCTCCATCGTCAACGCCTTCATGGTGGGCTGCATGTTCGTGAAGATCTCGCAGCCCAAGAAGCGCGCCGAGACTCTGGTGTTCTCCACCAACGCCGTCATCTCCATCCGCGACGGCCGGCTTTGTCTGATGTTTCGCGTCGGAGACCTGCGGAACTCGCACATCGTGGAGGCGTCCATTAGAGCCAAACTGATCAAGTCCAAACAGACCAAGGAGGGAGAGTTCATCCCTCTCAATCAGACGGACATGAACGTGGGCTATGACACCGGAGACGACCGGCTCTTCCTGGTGTCTCCGCTCATCATCTGCCATGAGATCAATCAGCACAGCCCCTTCTGGGAGATCTCCAAAGAGTACCTGGCCCATGAGGAGCTGGAGATCGTGGTGATCCTGGAGGGCATGGTAGAGGCCACAGGTACGCCACTGAAATCTGCAGTTGTTTCATTGCGCTCAGAGATTACATTTACACATATTGCGATTTTCCACTGCATGGTACAGCACGGTACGTTTAACTTTAGGGGGGTTTTCCATTGGGTACAGTACCTGGTACCTGGTACTTTTTTTAGTACCACCTCGGTTGAGATTCCAAGTGAACCGTACCGTTACCAAAACGTGGCATGTAAACTCTGCAGATCACGGATTGGCCGGAGAGAATCGTCACTACCTGCGTCACTGAACTTGCGACACAAACACAAAAGAACCGCTAGATTTAAATCAGCACATCCAGCGAAGGATCGAAGGCAACTGTTTTGAACGAGCGCACCTTTTTTAACAACCAAAAAGTGGCTGTTTCGTTGTCTGTTGAAAACAGATAAATGGGACAACAAATTCTCCAAATCTTTCAGATGATTTTAGATTAAAGCATTGCATTGAAGGTATGCAGTGGATTGGTTCATGCATTTGCTTCGCTTTGAACTGCACATGGAGAGTAAATGTTGCAACTTAGAAGAAGCTCAAACATCATTTTTGTCACGCTTTGATCACTGCATCATTCCCAGACCTCCACTCGAGTGATTTCAGAGGTTTCATCCCTGCACTATTATTCTAACACAGTGGTTCTCAACCTTTTTTTCCACTGGGCCGCACTATGGTCCAAGTGCAAGTCTCATGGGCCACACGCAAATCATTTACATATTTCGTCACCAATACAAACCAACCAGATTTATAATAGCCTATTATAGCATAAATATTATATCTAATCGATTGCATTCATTGAAATAAATAAATAAATAAATAATTATACTCACCATTAATAAAACTCCTGATGCTGTCAGGAGCTGACCAATTTTGTGAAATTCGGCTCGAAAGCAGTAACAGCACAATGAAGTTGCGATTGTAAATTGCAGTCTGTAAGACGCGCACGGAAGCGTGACTTGAAAATATGCATTCACAAATGTAGCCTATGTTGATCCAAATATGGAAAACGCTTTCGAATTTAATAATCTGAGGTTCTCTCCAGAGATGTTTTGCCACATTTCTGCAATTAAGGATGATTGCTACATAGTATGTGTTTCCTTTTGCCTGATCTAGAGCCCTGCATTTCAGCCTGGGCCCCACGGCCCCGACTTTTTTACGCCCCTCGGGCCGGGCTTCGGGACAATTTTCACGTCATAGTTCAGATGCGGGCCGGGCATCAGGCCTGTTTTAGGCTTCTCCTATTTTTTTTTATATTTTAGACATCCATCAATTAGTGATGATAAAAATTTTTTTATTTGTCACGCTGGTGGAAACAACACGAGACCGTGCTGCTGCGACTGTAAGAGTGGCTCAACGGTGTTTAGTGTCCCGCAGCAGTATGTGTGGTGCGTGCCGTCAGCGCAGCTGAACAGTTCTGCATTCAAATGCACGCAATATGCTAAAGCTTGCCGCAGAGCACCGGCAAAAGTAATTATCATGAATGTGTCAGGGGGAAACAGTAAGGAGATATTTGAATTATTTACTAATAAACTAGTGTTTTCTGAGTCGGTGTCGCAAGGATGAAGTTG